ATATATATATATATATATATATATATATATATATACTAGTCATAACCCGTGCATGAAACCACGATAAAATATAAAATTTGAGTGTTTAAAAAATTGATCCTACTATATTAAATTTTTTCAAAATATATTAACTACAAATTAATTAAATATTAAATGATTAATGAGTGACGTAATATTTTTAGGGAAGAAATATATAAATGATTAAATATATGATTGAAATGAGTGATGTGATTTGACATTTAAATTTGACAAATGGATGATGGGTGAGGTAAGTAATTGATGATGATTTTGAGAAAAAAAATATGACTGGGATAAAATTCAAACACACTCCTGTTTTATTATATAGATTTCTATATACACACACAACTTAAAAGAACTACACAATAACCCACCAAAATGGAAAAACCTCACCAACCGCCATCCATCCATCTTTTGGAGCTAAAATCAAATTATTATTTCTACTTCTCACCCATTATCTATAATATAATCTAAACATATATTTTAACCCCAATAATATTTACTTCGTATCTAATGGAAATTTACATGTGTTATACAAATTTATGCCCCATTTCATGCATGACTCGCATAAAAATATTAAGTAATTACACTTACCTCCTAAATTTTTTTTAGGAAATTCTACTTTTCCTTAAAATATTATACATTTTCTCCATTATACCCATACATTCAATTAAATGCAATGCAATGCATGTCAAGGTTTTACATGCAACTTTGATTTTAATCCCCAAAACATCAACTAAATGAAATTTAAACGGTACCAATGGATTCCTTAGGTTCTTTTTAGTCTAGTACAATACCCTTTACAATTCGCAACATAAGATTAATAAAAAATAAATTTTCAAAAAATATAAACCCTAACCTTCAACTTCCCCCTCCTCAAACCTTCATCATAGACCACGACAACATACAAAACCACCACCAAAATTCATGCTAGACTCCCAGGAATCATTTTCAAATTAAAGATCAAACTAAAACTCACTCAAATTGCAAACTCGTTTCAATACCCATTAAAACCTGAAAATTTCAAAGTAGAAATTCATACTCAAACAATTAGTAAAACATATTCTAAGCACCTAAAATGAACTCCTGCAAATCACCAGGGGGTACTTTGCTAACCTAATTAGGGTGCTAGGAGTTCGTTTTTGGTGCTTCGAATATGTTTTACTTACTGTTTGAGCATGAGTTTTCTACTTTGAATTTTTTGGGTTTTAATGTGTATTAAAACAAGTTTTGGTTTGATCTTTAATTTGGAAATGATTCTTGAGAGTCTAGCATGAATTTTGGTTGTGGTTTTTTATGTTGTTGTGCTCTGCAGTGAAGGTTTGAGGAGGGTGACGTTGAAGGTTATGGTTTATGTTTTTGAAAATTTGATGTAGATAGAAGAGGTGAATTGCTACAATTAACGAGTTCAGGGGCTCAATTAATATAATTTTTTTTATAGATTTAATTAATATAAAATTCATAATCTAAAATCATATGTGTAATTTACTCTAAGGTAAATTGCACCAATGGTCCTTGAGATTTGTCATTTGTTGTACTTTTATCTCTAAACTTTTATTTCGTCCTCCATGTTAACACATTGACTCATTTTGATCCTTATCCATAATTGTTGTCCAAATAATAGACGAAAAATGTCATGTGTTTGGCACATGAGGGTACTAAGAGGCATTTTGGGTATTGTGCTTCCAAAGGCAATTGGCACAAATGGAAAACAACTTTTCAGACTAAACCAACAACCCCTTCCCTTTCCCTTGAATCCTTATCATCAATTCGCCGGTAGGACTCAAAGTTTATCCGTCCAATTGAAATACACCCCACCCCCTCTCTCTCTCTCTTTCACACACATAAACACACGCACGCACACACATAACACAAACGCACTCACGTAGACACACATATTCTGATCTCTCTCTCGCAACTCTCCCTCTCTCTCTTAATACATACACATACACACACTCACACACATTCTTATCGTAATTTTGTACGAAGTTGAAAATCAAAATATGGATGAAGAACTGCTCGAATTATAGAGGCAATTTGAGATCACTCCAAGCCAAATCGAGCATTCGACAAAGAATGTTATCAAATTGGTTAAAAAACTCCAACAACTTCAAATTATCGACTTCGATCTTTTCCACACCATCTCCGACAAAGAATACATCACTCATGTACAAATCTCTCTCTTTCTCTCTCTATTCAGTGCAATAAAAATAGGGGGTATGAACGCTAACCCCAATCAACAGTCTCTCTCTCTCTCAAAATTCAGAAGCATCACCCATTGCAACTCCCCATAACTCTAGTAGGATTCAAGTTCTGAATCCAAGTGGGGTGTGTATGATTGTGGGTTTCTGTTGTGGGTGTGTATTTATGGTTTTGTGTTGCGTTTATGTTAGGGTTTTCAAGGGATACATGTGTTGGGTTTGGGAGTGGAGACACAATAGCGAGAGAGAGGGAGAGAAATTAATGTCTGCGTGTGTGAGAGAGAGAAAACAAAAAAAAAAAAAGAAAGGAAGAAGAAGATAAGTGTTTAGTTTCATGTTTAATGTATACATATAAAGATAATTTTGTTTTTGGACGGCAGTTAGTAACATGGAAGATGAAATTGATGAAATTAAAATTTTAAGGATAAAAGTATAATAAATGGAAAATTTTAGACCATTGGTGTAATTTAAGACAAAGAACACGTGTAGCCTTTAAGACAAAGAACACGTGTAATTGTTCAAATTTCCAATTCGTGCACTCAGACAAACTAGCCCGTGGATTCATTCATAGCTTCCAGTACTAAAAGTTTGTTCACACTTCCTAATTACACACACAAACGCACGGATAACTTCCATGGCTTTCTCCTCAGTTTTCTCTGCACCTTTGCACAGTCTCACACAGACGAAGTCAAATCCCTCATCTGTGCCTTCTCCTTCTATGGCTTTCCTCACTTCACCCATTAAAATCTCTTTTGGGTCCTCTAAGTCTGCATTTTTTCAACATGGTTTCTATCTTCAAGCGTCAAATCTTTCTGGGTTTGCCTTGAAATCTCGATCTTTCAGTTCTGTTTACGCTAGAGCCGCCACAGAGAAGACTATTTATGACTTTACTGTGAAGGTATATTCACATTTGAGTGCACATATGCAGAAGAAACTGTTAGTTCTATTTTTATTTAGGATGTTATTTCAATTATGTATTTCCGACGTTTTTCTTTCATGGGTTATTTGAATTGTTCTTCTCTGGCATATTTCTTCATTGGGTATTACTGAGTTATGACGTTACTCTCTTGTGAGTGTGTTCTATACCGTGATCTTATCTTTACTTTTTTGTTTATTCTGGTTTCCCCTTTCTTTATATTTAGTTTTTGGGTATTGTTTATATTAATTATCAAAAAATTCAACCTTTGAGTTTGCGGCGAGTGTTAAAATCCGGTGCTGTTACGGAATAGTGCAGAACTGAGATAATGTCTTTCTGATGTGAGAGAGGAGATGTATGAGTGGCTTGGGTTTGTGCCTGCTTATGTGCAGTTATGGTTGGCTTTCAAGTTGAATGAGACTAATTGAACGTTTTAACCGAGGAATATTGCTAGTGCACGTTTGTCTGTGCTGAGTGCTGACCAACTGTGTAATCAGATCATTTAGGATTGAGAAAATGTCAACAATTTTATGTTTCACTAGTCCGAGTTTCGCTTGCAGGAAGTTTTCTAAGAACTGAGTTGTGAATTTGTGCATCAGAATAGCAATTAATACTCGATATGTATTTTTCCATTGTTAATTAACTATCAAATGGGATAGCCCAAAAGGATATGACAACGTGATGAAAATGTCCTTATCAAGTACACTGGAGGAATAGATTTCATGAAGGTGATCTCAAACAGCTTGTATAAGAGTTTGTTGAGCTGAATTGAGCTGTTCTTTTCTTGTGCAATTTGGCCAAGATTTCGAGGATTGTGAGTTTTTAGTTTGTGGTTTGAATTTGTACATGGTATGATTTATATTGGACAGCTAAAGGGAGTTGCAGCCAGGAGTCATTAGGTTGCTTTTTTTAAATTCTTATTTTGTCCTTCCATTATTGGGTCAGAATGATTCAATACAGTAGTGCCACCATGGATGATTACTTTGTAGTTTTTACTAATATACATGGTGGTGCTTTGTACAGGATATTGATGGGAAGGATGTTACTCTTGACAAGTTTAAGGGGAAGGTTTTACTCATTGTAAATGTTGCGTCAAAATGGTATCCACTGCTTTATGACTGTTACCTGCAGTAATGATCTATGAAGTAGCTAAGATTATTGATGTCTCATGTATAATATCAAACAAGATTTCGCGAATAGCCTTTTTTCCTAACAACATTTGTTATGTTATGATAATATGATATGCTTGCAATCTAACTGTAGGATTTGTGTTTTGATTCAGTGGTCTGACGGCATCAAACTACTCAGAACTCTCTCACGTATATGAGAAGTACAAAACTCAAGGTGAGATGGATTCTTGAGGTTTAAGCTGGGAATTCCGTTATGTCTTTTCTATCTGTTGTGTCCCTTAGAGCTTCTTGTGTCATGTTTTTTTTTTCTAAGATCTTGAGGTATTTAAGTGGTTGTGGGAATTTTTAGTATCTATTGCCTTAATAATGTTAGTAACATGTACTTGAATGGAATCTAGATCCAAGTTCTGGTACTTTCACAGAGTATAATGTGCATGCTTATGTGACTTATATAATTTCACATTGATGTGTATACATATGAGAAGTACAAAACTCAAGGTGAGATGGATTCTTGAGGTTTAAGCTGAGAATTCCTTTATGTCTTTGCTATATGTTGTGTCCCTTAGAGCTGCTTGTGTCATGTCTGTTTTTTCTAAGATCTTGAGGTATTTAAGTGGTTGTGGGAAATTTTAGTAACTATTGCCTTAATAATGTTAGTAACATGTACTTGAACGAAATCTAGATCCAAGTTCTGGTACTTTCACAGAGTATAATGTGCATGCTTATGCGACTTATATTATTTCACATTGATGTGTATGCATTACATGTATCAGTGATTTAAATGTGCATTCCTCTGTGTTTCTCCTATTATTTTTCATTGATTTGCACTTATCCTAATATTGCCATCTGCAATCTAGATCCAAGTTCTGGTAAAATTATCATGATATGTGATCCTTATATGAATGCACTATTTAATCAGAACCTTAGGTATTCCTATTTCCAGACTAACTCCTAGTAGATGTAATTGCAAAATTTCCTCTCAATCCTAATACTTGTCCTCTGCACATATTCTTTCAGTAATATCCTAATGCTTGCTCAGACATGTCACATACAATTATCCTGCTGTCAAGTGTTCGAAATGGGTACTTCATGCATCTAAAAATGTCCATGTAGCTTGGCTTTTCAATAGTATACCAGGATGCAAGCTTCGTTAAATAACATATTGCCACTGCTTTCCCTAAATATATTTTCCATAGGCACAAATGAAGCCTTGATTAGTGTTTGCTCTCTTGTGTTGTATACTTGTATTTGAAGACAAAAGCACCCATAGGAAATTGCAATTGTTGTAAAGGAAAAATTATGGGTATTGAGTTGTTATGTCATTGAGAATTGTCTTTCCCGTTATTTCTTATCCCCACCCGTACACATTGACAACTGTCTGTCAGCTGTCTCAGGAGTAGGTTTTTAATCCTTTTAAGGCTTTCTGTGGCCTGTACTTCTGTGAGCGTTCCATGGGAAAGGAAAAAACCAGGTGTTGTTGTACCATACAGTGATGACTCTTTGCCTGTGGGGCAGGACTCACATGATATGGGCATCGCGATGGTTACTGTACGTGTACAACTGTCATAGTAAGTTTTATTTTTCCGTGGAAACAAGACAATTCCAATGTCTACCAAGAATATTGTATGGAAATACATAGGGCTTCTAATGGTTAGCTTTTGTCATCTCCTTCTGTTTTCTCGCTGTAATGCAATCTGTAGCTTTGATTGAGCTGTAAAATATTTGGGGCCATTTGTACAGACATCTAATTGAAGCTTCTTCTGGACGACTAGTAATGAAGTATATACCTTTTGCTATCCTGTTAATGAGTAGATTGAAATTATTGGCATCCTTCATTTTTCCCATTTTTTGTTCTTGTTCCTCTCTCTACACTCCTGCTTGTATTTTCATTATATCTTGACAAACTTAACCTTTAAACAACCCCTAACCCCCCCCTTCTTTTTTCTAAAACACCCAAAAAACAGAAGAAAAGAGAACACAGAACACAGACACAAAAATGATGATTGTCTTTTCTAGATTGAAGTATAGACAGTAGCAGCAGCTCTGTGTGTTGTACGGAATTTGCACACATCCTCTTTTCCTCCCCGGCCTTCTTACTCTCTAATTTTTCCTCTGTCTAAAGTGACAAAAGAATTATGGAAAGTTAAGTGTGATAAAACTGATTTTTTTAAATTTGAAGTAAATGGTTGGTTTTTTAAGAAAATTTAAATGAGTGGTAGTTAATTAGTGGGGTGGAAGGGTAGTTAGATTTGGACATGTGTAAGAATATAATTGAATAAAACCATGTGTGTTAATTAAATAAATGAAAATTTTAATAGAAAAGAAAATTAGGAGGGAAGGCTTCTCAAGGCACCTCCCATCTAATTTGATTGCTTTGTGTATAGTATAGATCGCTGGAAACTAGCATCTTTAATGTGCATGCTACTACAGTTTATCACTTTCTCTCACTCTTCAAAAATTTAATAAATTTGGTGTGCAAGGGCTTAAAGGAGGGAACGAAATGGGATGCTTACAAATTCAGTTGTTTGGTTTTAGAAAATATATTTGTGTGGTGTTTGCCGACATGGAATCCATGCCTTAATATTAGAGTAGGAGAAACACCTAATTAAATTTCAAACTGATGTTGCCTTCAATTCCAATTGAGCTGCTAGTTCCATGCAGCGAAACACAACTTTATGATGAAATCAATTCAACTATTTGGGCTTGAGTGGTTGATGAATTGGGGATTTTGTTGAGTTTGATTTCCAATTACATATCAAAGAAACATCTTACAGCATAGTGCCACCAAAGCAAACCATTTGAATGCAGAGGGGCATGTCCCCATAACCCAAAGAATCTACATTACTAGTGGCTGGTCAAAGTGGTTGACTATTTGCATTTGAATTTCAATAATGTGAAATTTGATCTGGCAGGCACATATACTTTTTCTGTTTATTTAATTGCGTAAAGTTTCAGAAAGAGGATACCAATTTGAGGTCCGCTGATTGAACTGTCCATAATAGAAGAGAATCCTGTGCTGTGGGATAATTCTGCTATATCATGTTCTTGGTAGCATAGGTGCATGCTTACTCATGCACATCATTAGTTGTGAACATGGTAAATTTAGGAATGATAACAGGTCTGCTGAACATGAGGGGTAATTGAGTTTTATGCAAATCTTATCTCAAATTACAATAGTCTAGTTCAAAGAGTGTGATTTTCTGTTAATTGAAAAGGAAATTTTTGTTTGAGTTCCAAATAATCCCTCACTTTGTATAATACGCAGGCTTTGAAATTCTAGCATTTCCTTGCAATCAGTTTGGGGGGCAAGAGCCTGGGTCAAATCCAGAGATTAAGCAGTTCGCTTGTACAAGATTTAAAGCAGAATTTCCGATTTTTGATAAGGTTTGTCAGAATGCCTTTTTCCTTTATACAATATTTTGCTGGTAGAGATTAAATGAAGAAAATGTTATGCACAACAGGTTGATGTGAATGGACCAAGTACGGCTCCAGTTTACCAGTTTTTGAAGTCAAGTGCTGGGGGCTTCTTAGGTGACCTTATCAAGTGGAATTTTGAGAAGTTTCTAGTGGACAAGAATGGAAAGGTTGTCGAAAGATACCCTCCAACAACATCTCCTTTCCAAATAGAGGTATGTTTTCTCTTTAGCAAGAATCTCTAGGTTAATTAGATAATGATTTGACCAATAGAAACAATAAAATATAAAACTGTCTAGATTTTGAAGAAGCTCATTCTTGAATAATTATATTCTTAAAAGCTCATGGTAAATTAGCGACAGATAGACTTTCAAAGGCATATTTGTTTTAATATAGAATCCCCTATTATTTAAATTGTTAAGTTAAGAGAATTAATATAACACAATATTAGAGGCAATATTAGGGAGAAAGAGAGAGGTTAGAAAACTTAATCTAGCTCTTATACATAACTTGTATTTATAGTTAACTTACAATAATAATAATAACACATACATCCCTTTTACTATTAACAATTTAAACATACTACTACTCTATTATTCTTAACACTCCCCCTCAAGTTGGACTATATATATCATATAATCTAAGTTTGGAACAAATAGTTTTAAGACGTGTACGACTCAATGCTTTGGTAAACATATCTGCAAACTGATCTTCAGATTTCACAAATAGAGTTGTAATTTCCCCGGCTACTATCTTGTCCCGAATAAAGTGACAGTCAACCTCAATATGCTTAGTTCTTTCATGAAACATAGGATTGTCAGCGATATGGATAGCTGCCTGGTTGTCACAGAACAAATGTAAAGGAAGTTGAACTGAAAAATCAATTTCCTGGAGGAAGTGTAGTAGCCAAGTCAACTCACTTATCGTATGTGCCATTGCCCTATACTCAGCCTTAGCATTGGATCTTGCTACCACAGGTTGTTTCTTACTTTTCCATGAGACAACATTACCTCCTAGGAAAGTACAATAACCAGTGGTTGATCTCCGATCAGAAGGAGATCTAGCCCAATCAGCATCTGAGAAACCTTCCACTCTAAAATGTCCATTAGCTCGATATAACAGTCCAAGTCCTGGAGCTCGTTTGAGATATTGCAGAATACGAGTAACTGCCTCCCAATATGGTACTCTAGGACATCCCATGAACTGACTTACTATACTGACTGCATAAGAAATATCCGGTCGAGTAATAGTGAGATAATTAAGCTTCCCAACCAATCTGCGATACCGACCCGGATTTTCAAATAATACACCATCATCTATCAATAATTTCTGATTCGGATCCATAGGGACATCAATCGGTCTACCACTTAGCAAACCTGCTTCCTCGAGCATGTCAAGTACATATTTTCTCTGAGATAAACAAATACCCTGTTTAGATCGAGCCATCTCAATACCCAAGAAATACCTAAGTTTTTCTAAATCCTTAGTATGAAATCGATCCTGTAAAAATAATTTTAACTTGGCAATCCCCTCAGAATCATTTTCAATAATCACAATATCATCGACATAGACCACCAATAGGACATACCCAGCATCTGTCTGCCTATGAAACACAGAATGATTTGTTTGACATCGAAGAAGACCAAACTCTAAAACTGCATCTGAAAACTTACCAAACCATGCCCCTGGTGACTGCTTTAAACCATATAAAGATTTTTTTAACCGACAAACACTCTTACCAGACTCCCCCTGAGCAGTAAACCTAGGTGACTGCTCCATGTAGACCTCTTCAACCAAATCACCATGTAAGAAGGCATTCTTGACATCTAACTGAAACAAGGGCCAGTCAAGATTAGCAGCCAAAGAAATCAAGATACGACAGAGTAAATTTTAGCAACAGGAGAAAAAGTCTCCTCATAATCAACACTATAAGTCTGAGTGAAGCCCTTTGCAACAAGTCGGGCTTTGAGACGCTCTACAAAATTANTCAAGATACGACAGAGTAAATTTTAGCAACAGGAGAAAAAGTCTCCTCATAATCAATACTATAAGTCTGAGTGAAGCCCTTTGCAACAAGTCGGGCTTTGAGACGCTCTACAAAATCATTTGGATGAAATTTAACAGCATACACCCAACGACATCTAACAGTTCGTTTACCAGAGGGTAAAGGGACGAGATCCCAAGTTCCATTATGATGTAAGGCATCCACCTCCTCCTCCATAGCTTTTCTCCAACCCGGATCAGATAATGCATCCTATAAATGCTTAGAAATAGATATAGCAGATAATTGGGAAGTAAAACAGGAGAAGACAGGTGACAAGGCATCATATGAAACAAAATGAGAAATAGGATGATTAGTAACACACGAACGAGTACCTTTGCGAAGAGCAATAGGTAAAGAATCTAAATTACCTGATGTTCCTGGATCAGAAGGCGACAAGGAAGACGGTACGGGCACTTCAGTCAATGGGTGAGGACGGCGAGAATAGACACGGAGAGGTAAAGTAGGTGGTAACACAGTGGGCAGCGGAATATCTGATGGTGGTATAGAAGAGGAGCCAAAGTCCAGATCCAAAGGCTGAGAGGGTGCTGGAAAGTATGGAACAGATTCTTCAAATGTGACATCCACACTAGTAAAATATCGGTGCAGAGAAGGATTGTAGAAACGATACCCCTTCTGCGTGCGAGAGTAACCAAGAAAAACACATTTGGTAGCCCGAGGATCAAGTTTGTCAAATCCAGGACCCAAATTGTGAACATAACAGACACAACCAAAAACCTTAGGAGGAAGGGAAAATAAGAGCTTACTAGGAAACAAAATAGAGTATGGACTTTGTCCATTTAACACAGAGGAGGGCATACGGTTAATAAGATGACAAGAAGTAAGAACAACATCACTCCAATGATATCGAGGAACATTCATCTGGAATAACAAGGCACGGGTGACTTCCAACAAATGGCGGTTCTTTCGTTCAGCAACACCATTTTGTGGGGAGGTGTAAACACAAGAAGTCTGATGAATAATGCCAGTTTTACTAAGATAAGCTAAAAAAGGATCAGATTCATATTCACGAGCATTATCGGAACGTAAAATACGTATACGACAACCAAACTGAATTTTTATTTCTTTACGAAAAGTCGCAAATATAGAGAATAATTCAGACCGAGCTTTCATCAAAAATAACCAAGTTACACAAGAATAGTCATCCACAAATGTCACAAAATAAGGATATTTATTAGATGAAATATTATTTATTGGACCCCATACATCTGAATGAACTAATTCAAATGGACTAGACACACGATTATTGACTCTAGACTGAAATGACACACGGTGATGGTTACTAAGTTGACAAGCTTCACAAGACAAAGACGACACATAACNTACAGAACCATCTGGATGAAATTTAACAGCATACACCCAACGACATCCAACAGTTCGTTTACCAGAGGGTAAAGGGACGAGATCCCAAGTTCCATTATGATGTAAGGCATCCACCTCCTCCTCCATAGCTTTTCTCCAACCCGGATCAGATAATGCATCCTATAAATGCTTAGAAATAGATATAGCAGATAATTGGGAAGTAAAACAGGAGAAGACAGGTGACAAGGCATCATATGAAACAAAATGAGAAATAGGATGATTAGTAACACACGAACGAGTACCTTTGCGAAGAGCAATAGGTAAAGAATCTAAATTACCTGATGTTCCTGGATCAGAAGGCGACAAGGAAGACGGTACGGGCACTTCAGTCAATGGGTGAGGACGGCGAGAATAGACACGGAGAGGTAAAGTAGGTGGTAACACAGTGGGCAGCGGAATATCTGATGGTGGTATAGAAGAGGAGCCAAAGTCCAGATCCAAAGGCTGAGAGGGTGCTGGAAAGTATGGAACAGATTCTTCAAATGTGACATCCACACTAGTAAAATATCGGTGCAGAGAAGGATTGTAGAAACGATACCCCTTCTGCGTGCGAGAGTAACCAAGAAAAACACATTTAGTAGCCCGAGGATCAAGTTTGTTAAATTTAGGACCCAAATTATGAACATAACAGACACAACCAAAAACCTTAGGAGGAAGGAAAAATAAGAGCTTACTAGGAAACAAAATAGAGTATGGACTTTGTCCATTTAACACAGAGGAGGGCATACGGTTAATAAGATGACAAGAAGTAAGAACAACATCACTCCAATGATATCGAGGAACATTCATCTGGAATAACAAGGCACGGGTGACTTCCAACAAATGGCGGTTCTTTCGTTCAGCAACACCATTTTGTGGGGAGGTGTAAACACAAGAAGTCTGATGAATAATGCCAGTTTTACTAAGATAAGCTAAAAAAGGATCAGATTCATATTCACGAGCATTATCGGAACGTAAAATACGTATACGACAACCAAACTGAATTTTTATTTCTTTACGAAAAGTCGCAAATATAGAGAATAATTCAGACCGAGCTTTCATCAAAAATAACCAAGTTACACAAGAATAGTCATCCACAAATGTCACAAAATAAGGATATTTATTAGATGAAATATTATTTATTGGACCCCATACATCTGAATGAACTAATTCAAATGGACTAGACACACGATTATTGACTCTAGACTGAAATGACACACGGTGATGGTTACTAAGTTGACAAGCTTCACAAGACAAAGACGACACATAACTAAGACTAGGAACTTGGCGCTTTAGATTCTGGAGAGAAGGATGTCCAAGACGACAATGCCATTGAAAAGGAGACAACGAGGTCTGTAAAGCTCGGGTAGATGAATCAAAGTCAAGGTAATATAGGCCACTAGCTTCATGCCCCGTACCAATCTTCCTCTTCGTCTTGAGATCCTTAAAGACACAATAAGAGGGATAAAAAATTATTGAACAATTGAGAGAACGAGTAATCTTGCTAATAGAAAGTAAACTAAAAGGAAACTGAGGAACAAATAACACAGAAGATAGAGACATATCAGGACTCAAGTGAGTAGTCCCCAGACCTGAAACTTTAGAACAAGTACTATTAGCAAGAGTAACATTACGTGCAGAAATAGCAGATTGATAAGTAGAGAAAACATCAGACGCACTAGTCATGTGGTCAGAGGCACCAGAATCTATGATCCAATGGCTGTGGGTGGAGGACATTAAACATGTGGAAGCAGTACCTGACTGGGCAAAAGTAGCAGTGGAGGGAGATGAAACAGCTTGTTGCTGGGACAGGAACTGAGCATACTCCTCTCGACCCTGTGT